AAGATGAATTTTTACAAATTATTATATATTAAAATTCCCTCATATATATCAACTTTATTATAATCCCTTGTTAATATTACTATCAATATGAATTTAAACTAATTCAAATAGGCTGATATAAACGAGGGTAGACTGTACTTAGAATTTATTTTCTTTCTTAATATATCGCTTTAACAATGATATTTAAAATATAAAGTACGGGAATTATTATATTTATATTTTGTTTGGTAGAAGAATGGTCACTCGTTTGGGTGCTGAGAGGAATAATCTAGTTTTTGTGCAAAACTCGCTAATTCTTCTACTGAAGAAAACTTACAGATCGTTGATGTACGTACCTGCATTTGTAAAGGTGCCATTTATGATGGGCATAATTTTGTTTTAATAAAAAATATTGGCAAATCATTTTACTTTTCTTTATACGAATTTATTTGTATAATTTATATGAGATATATATTCAAAAAAATTATGATTTTTTTTTAGATTTGTTAAAGCAGATATTTTGGTGGAAAGTTTGCGTGTTTATATTCCAACAATAGAGATAGAATCTAAAAAAAAATTATCTTCTCGATAGAATAAGAAATCAGTTATTCAAGATGTCCATAAAGCAAAGTCATAATTAATTATTTTAACTACTTCTCGATGTTTATTGAATGATGAAATTCGTTCAAAATTGGATTAAAAATGCAAGTATAAAATATTATTTCTAAAAATCTCCAATAATTTCCTGCAATTAGGCCTCTTAAAGCCTTAAATAATTATAATATTGTTTTTATGGTCGTTCAAATATTTCATGATTTTAATGGATTCCAAGTTGAAATCCACCATTAAGGTCATGAAATATTTGAACGACCATAAAAACAATATTATAATTATTTAAGGCTTTAAGAGGCCTAATTGCAAGAAATAGTTAGAGATTGGAACCGTTTAATCGCAAAAAAAAAATTTTTATAGTGCCGGCTAAATTTTTATGGTTAAACGATTAACGGTTAAGAAAATTTTAAGCGGTTCCAATCCCTAATTCCAACCAATCAATTTCCTTTTCAATGACTTACCTTTACCTTCAAACAGGCTACATGACAAAGTTCATATTATGATGGTTTGAAACTGAAAATGCTAATAATAGTACTGATGTTATATAATACTTAGCAATCAATTATCAATGCAAACATGGAAGAAGCTTAACAATTATGGAAATTACCCAGATTATGATTGCAATGTTAATGGCTGGCCACACACAAGCTCAACTAATAGGATGTGGGCCCTTCTTTACCACGCACAATATCCTGATTATTTGATTATTTCGACAATAACAATCCTATTATTCGAAAGTTGTTCGTGATATGCCAATTCCTGGAAAAAACTACGTTATTCAAAAGATGTCTATACCCAACGCATTCCTACTCTTACTGCGAGATCTAAATATTTTGAAAATGCCGAGAAATTTAATCCATATAGGTGGAAAAATTGATTTACAAAATAAAGAACGTGATGATGGTCTTGTGGATTATCGTTTTGGTGTTCCTTCTGTTTGTGCAAAATCCTATGGTAAGGCATCAGAATTACCTTTAAAAATGAGTTGTAAGAAAATAAATTATAAACCTGTATGCATAAAGTATTCTTAAATAAAAGGGGAATTTACAAATAAGGGCCCAAAAAAGTAAACCAATTACATATAAGGGCCCTATTTTAGAAAATTTCGCCATATCTCATGATACAGTGAACGAAATTTAATGATTTTGATATCATTCGAATCGTCTCGTCAAGACGGATCGGATGGTACTAAAATTGCTAAATTTAAATTGCTGGATTACGAGCTATTCAACATTTTATAAAATATGTTTAAATCATGATATCTCGTTATCCAGTGATTTAAATTTGGCAATTTTAGTACCATTCGATCCGTCTTGACGCGACGATTCGAACGGTATCAAAATCATTAAATTTCGTTCACTATATCATGAGATATGGTAAAACAGGGCCCTTATTTGTAAATTCCCCTAAATAAAATCAATCTTTTTTTTTTTTTTGAATATGATTTCTATAAGAATTATAATGATTTCTTTAGTTTGTGTTTATTCTTCTTTTGTTTTACAAAAACAAATTTAATGCCCTTGAATCTAATAATTATTAGCATTAGATAAAAATTTCAATTCAAAAGTATTAATTAAATGGTGTCGTAACAATTTTGAATGAACTTTTTTTTACCTTAATAAAAATCTCAAAGCTGCGCAAAAAACTCATAAATAAACATATAAGTTTTAATTCTAATTATCTTTTTTACTTTTATTTTCACGAAATATCCCTTTTGACATCAATTTCGTACAAAAGGACATTTAATTTCGTACAAAACGACATTCAATTTCGTACAAAGTGACATTCAATTTCATATAAAATGTTATTTAAATTCGTACAAATTGATATTCAAATCTATACAAAATGACAATTAAAATAAGTTTTATTAAATCGCAATATTTTGTCATGTAGTAGATCAATATAGAAGATTTTGGTACCATTCGGATCAGGGATGGTAAATGACCTGAAATGACCCAAATGACCCAAATGACAAATGACCAGTCATTGGGTCATTTCAAATT